CAACCAAATCATTTCTAACTTACATTGCAAACGATTTCGGAAATGCGGGATCATTGCGATGAACAGGTACATAACATTACGCGACCAATTTCCCAATATCTCGTTGTTTTACCCAGGGTGTGCGTCGTGAGAGTTCGCCGGTCGGGTTCATACCTTGTGTGTGTGTGTGTGTGTGTGTGTGTGTGTGTGTGTGTATGTGAGCACTGTATTTGTAATTCTTTTGCCAATTGAGAATTTGAGCATTTTTATAATCATCTTAGTAGATCTGTGCAGTAATTACTTAATTGTGACTATGATTGCTTTGACGTCGACCAAATTCAGATTAACTTGTTCGACAATTGAGATTACTTACAGCAAAATTTTTAACTGTACAACTTGTTCTCTTTAATTCAATATTTTCTTAGATTCATCAAACAATAAAACATTATTCTTATTATATTAATTTTATTAACTACTACTAATATATGAATTCTATTAATTCTATTTACTTGATAATAATTAATCATCAATTAAATTAATCGGAATTTGTCCGATCATCCTTTATATGATGAAAAAAGCACTTAAACTCACGACTTGGTAGCAGCGATCTTCCACTTTTCCTCATTCACTTTTTACCGCTTTCCAAATATTTAAAGTTATTGTTAATTGAAATTGCAGCGTCTGTTACTGCATTGTTCTTTGTTTACTTGTAACAGATTGTACTTCTTATTGTATTTCTGATGTATACAGGATCTAAAATGTCTTCTCTCCTATTGTATATTCTACTGATATTGTAATTCGTAGATCTAATCGATGACCAACTCGTTTACTTTTCACTATATTATTAGGATGCAAGAGATGATTATTTGTTTTATTTTTTATTAAGGAGAATATTGTGCGATATCTAAAAATATACATCAAAAAAGAAAAACGAATGCTGATATTACCAAATATTCCCTCGTAAATAAGAAATTCATTATAAATGTATTACATTACATAAGTCTCGCTATTAAAAGATTATTAAAGAAACCTTATACTTTACAAGTCTCAAATGTATAAATCCCGCAACATGGACTTTGTAGTGAAAAGATGGAAAGCAGATATTCTAGCAGGTAAATATCACACATATTACTTACAAATTTTTCTTAATCTTTTATTTTTCTTTCTCATAATAAATAATCTATAACAATATTTATACAACATTATAGGAATTTACAAGTTACAAAGCAGTTGCAACATATAAATTCTCTATCAGCTTCGTTAAATAAAAATAAAATGTCGATTATCTTTTTACCTATTATTCTCACGAACACTGATATTGAAATCCTATGAAGAAATAGTGGTAACGTTTGAGTTCGTATCTGAATTGCACTCATTATCCGTTCCTTGGAATAAATATTTAAAATGCTGTACATATAGCTGGCAATGTTCTCCCTTAGTGAAGGCCGTGGTGTTATGCAATCTCAAGTTGCGCTGCTCGAAGAATTTAAAGACCGAATGAAAGAGAGTCGCGTCATCAGTGGCTTTTGCTGCTTCTAAGAATTTTCTTGCAGATACTTGATCTGCCATTCCGACCGAACGAACATATCTGAAACGTAGAAATATAATAAACATATGTTAATTAAAACTTTAATTAAGAAAAGCATTTTAAATTACCTTAAGGCAGCCAAGATATGTCCCTTCGATAAAAGTACTTCGATTATCTCCTCATGCGCGTTCCCCAATCGTTTTAACATGTCCAACGCCAATTGATGCGCCGCCGGATACAAATTTTCCAGGGAAAGTAGTAAGCAAGCTAAAGGCTTCGAATCAGCGACCACATGGTATTGTAACAACTGATGCAGCTGATAGTAAGCCTTTCTATGTACTAATGTTGTGATCACCAATTCGTACAAATAATGTTGCACCGGTATTCCATGTTCAGTTAAGGATCTGTAAAATTGACATTTATTTAGATCAGATAAAGTGACTCGATAAATTTATATATTGTAAGTTATTACAATTCCCATGTACCTGATATATTCAAGTAGGATCCATACTATCATCTTTGGTTCTATTGTATTCTCAGGAAATTTGGATAATATGTGACTATACATGTCGCTTTGGTCGAGCAATAATTTATACTTAAAATTTTCAGCCACTGTTGTCACATTTTTAACATTATTCTGTAAAGGCGTTCCCATCTGTGAATGATAAATAAATGAGATAATTATTTAATTTTACATCTAAAAATTATATATAAATAATTATATATATAAGAGAGGAATCTATAACTTATAATTACCTGGTTCTGTATTTCATTTTCTAAATAATTTCTGTATACAATGTTAAGCTTATCAAATACGGTTGGCATCTCCATTAAACTTACAGGTAACTGTGTTATAAAACTCTGTAAGACTTGTATCAATATCTGTTTAGCATTTGATCGCTGCATTAAAAATTCTACTAAAAGCACTTTATCCGTGATTAATGTCACCAAAGCTTCCAATCTGAGCTCGATATACCTGTTTGATTATTAATAAATGAGAAATTATGCTCAAATATAAAAATGAATTAAAGGTCTGTTTTTTTTATAACTAAAATAGTACACTGTTCGAACTTAAAATAAAATAGATATATATTTGATATTTAGCAGAAGCGAGAGAGAAACTTCTAATAGTCTAGTACAGAAAAAAACTAAAAAGACCTCGAGACATGATGTTGTAATTAACCAAACGTACCACAAACAACCCAATTTTACGTCAATTATTATATTTGGTTGGAAAACAACCCAATTAGGAGAATCTGTATCATGTTAAGACTTAATATTTAGATAATGTTCAATAATGTTAAGACATTATTATAAATATAAAATATTACTTATTAAATTAATAAGTAATATTTAATATATTTTTTTTTATAAAAGGATACATAACTGGCACGGCTGATACATCTGATCAGACAAGATTGCACCTGGTACTTTGAGATTAAAAGGTTTAATCGGTTTTGCTGTAGTTATACTTGTATGATGCATTACTGTTCCATCACTCACACCAGACATCATAATGTCAAATATCATTGATGTCTATAAAAATATATGTTTAAGTTCTTATTTTGAATAAACTTGTTATATACAGTAACAATATATACCTTTGATGCTTGATGATGAACAATGATGAGATTATCAACAACGTTTATAGCAAATCTTCCACCAACATCCAGTTTTAACATATGACTTTTTTTAATGGTCATCATTCTGCAAAAACATCATATAACATTGCTATAACATTGCTTAGACATTGCGAATTGCGTTCAAAGTGACAAATTTTACTTGTGTACAGTATAGACGTATACAAATGCCGTTCCCATTGAGCGGTTGGCTCCCGGTTGATGTCGTAATAAAATTATACAAGGTGTTCCATATAACATAGCCAATGCTACATCCCTTTCGGAAACGGCCAGTTTCCCTGGTTTTGTTACGTTATGTTCAACTGGAACATTATTAAAATAAGCACAAAAATATTTTGTTCAACTTAATATTCAAGCACATGCAACTTACTTTCAAATTTAGTCAACTTGTGAAGATTACCAGGGGTAATATGTAATGCTTGTATTTGATTACCAACTGTACCAGATGATAATAATACCATATAACTCTTGGGACAGAATACAAACCAATTTATGCCTAAACTTAAGCATTTCAAGGCTTTAACGTTACGTTTTTCTGGATTAACCTGTAAATAAGTTCAAAGTATTAAATAGTCGAAATTCTATTTAAATAATATATCACAAATGTAAGTGACTGTATAAATAATTTGGGACAGCACGTATTTAAATCTTTTATTAAATTCAATCCATGATTAATGAATCACTAAAGAAAATTTAAAATTTAAATTTCCTTTAGAGACTCATGGATAGATACCACAATTAAATTTAACAAAAATGCTGCCCCAAGTTACCTGCATTGTCACCTTCATTTATGGTAATATATAATAGGTCTGCTTTCTATAGTTGAAGTGGAATATTTTTTAAACTTAAAGTGAGATGGGTATATGTTTGAAAATATATTTGAAAGCAAAAAAGAATTCTAATATTAGTTAGTATAGTACAAGAATAAAAATAGACCTAATAATATGAAATAAAAATGACAAAAGAATTTTCGCACTTGAAACAGTTCTACTCCATGATCTGTAACTACAAGTATCTCAGTGCCATGAGTCCACACAAAGCCTAGTATTGTGGCACTCTTCCCTTTGCATGACTGTGAGTACTCAACATGATCCAAACCAGAGACAGAAGAATAATTAACAAATTCCACTGACGAATTGGTACGCTGAATCGCAAGTACATTCATATCAGGAGAGAATTTAATGGATATTACTGGGCCTCTGTCTTCCATCCGAAAGTTTAAGTTCTGATCTGGGCCCTTAACGAGCACTCCCGTAACGCCTCCTGAGCGAACAGCAAATACCTGTATACAAATCATGTTTGTTATTGTATTAGGATGGAAATAAAAAATTTCACATGTACTGAGACAAAGTCAACTAACTTGCTGTTTCGAATCATCGAAAAACACATTCGTGAGACAGCTGACCGATTCGAACCTGATGGGGTCAGGAGACAGCTCCAGGTAATAATCATCATTCTTTCCCCGATCATCAGCTTCCATGTCTGGCATAACTGATCATCTGATCCTACCAGTTTACTACAGGCTTGACAGTTCTCCAGGTTGCAATGCACTAGGGATAACGGTTGCCTGCTTTACTCCTCACTACCGCATTCTGGTTGCCATAAATGAAGTTACCTAAAGTAAAACATATGATAATTTTAACCAATAAAAAAAAAATGTGTTCTGAGAAGGAAAATTGACGCTCAATAATTAAACAAATACCGTGAATAAATACTGGAAATCGATAAAATATAATTTTATCCAGCACCAGTATTTATCGTCGTCTTATCAATACATTTATAGTAAAAAATAATTGATAAAATTTTATAAGTAACAATTAAAACTAAAAATTAAGAATTTAGTTGCTAGTATATTCTTTTATTAACTGTTTATTGTTATACGTTACATTGTGTTTAAATATTACATAAATTTATTGAAATATTGGAAAACACTACTTTCTGTTACATAATCATCAATAAAATATTACAATTTTCAACTTGGACATTACATTATGTTAAATATATGGATTACACGTATATAGCAATAAAATTTTTTAAAATGTGTACGACATGGTAATAAATGTCTATAAATGCATTAATCTTTAAAATCGTTCTATATTTTCTTAATATTTATTTCTTCTGAAAAAAGCTAGTAATGCTTTTAGATCCTGCCGCTGCTCTCTGTTTGGCTAATTCCTTTTTACCAGGGGCAGTGCTTTTCTGTAAAAAAAATATATATAGATATTCAAATTAAATTTGTTCACACAAATGTCCTATTTGAAAATTCTTTACAGATTTAGATATTTTTTGTGTTCTATATAATTTTAAATAAATAAAACAAATACAACCTTCCACATTACTGTAATGTATAAAAGCATTATAACAATTACAATCTTCAAGTAGTCAAAAATTATTTATATATTTGTAGCTTGATATTTGGAATTATAGTTATCATTTACTAAAAATAATTATAATTACTACTGCTACTAATAACTGACCTTTTCGGGTTTACTTAAAGTTTTTGTTTGTTTCTTTGCTTTTGGCACTGGACTTTCTTCGAAGGAATCTTTCTTAAGCTTCTTCTCATCAGTTTCATTTTGAGGACTATTCAGCTTGCGTTTTTTACTCTCCACTTCATCAGATATATTCATACGTTGTGCCAGTTTCTTTGAGAGATCTTCAGCAAGGTATTCTGACACAATGCCATGTGCATATTTTAAGTATTCTATAAGAAAATTTTCGATAAGTGCTCAATTAATTGATCTCGCTTGTAGATGGTGGCCTACAAAAATTGGTTGAAGATCTCGTTATATCTCAATTCAGCTATAATAAATATTGAGGAACCCTCAAATATTCTATCTTATAATCTTATTCCTTCTTTGTTTCATAAACAGCATTACGATTGTAATTTTTCTTACCTGCTTCAGTACCAATTTCATATATAGTACTCTTAACATAAGTGGCACTCATAGCACCTTGAGATACATGAACTCCTTTTTCTTTTAATACATGTGCTACCTTTTCTACCTTCTTTTGCAACCAATTTAACGATTTCTCCTCATTAAACTTGAAAGCTTGTAGTGATTCGTCTCCTTTACGATCGGCAACTAAGGATAGATTCAAGTTGTCACATTGTGCAAGTCGAGAAGTCTCTGGAAAATCTTCATCCCAGAGGCATTGCTCCAAAGGTTGTGCTAGTTGTGACTATAACAAAGACATTTATTTTAACAACTACATCTCGAAAATTTCTCATAAAGAAATAAAATTCTACCATTACCTTTCTCAAGTATGGTAAAGCCAAAAAGATAGGATCAATTGGTGTCGATAAATGCAATTTTCCATCAGATTTGACATTATCATCAATAAACCAAGATCTTTTCTTTTCATCGAAGATTAAAATCTCTTGAACTGTGAGATTTCCAGCGCCAAATACAAATATAGCTGGCTTATCAGAAGCTGGATGTCTAAGTTTCACTATCTCAGATTGGCTTCTTGTGCTGTCCAAATTGCCATCTAAAATACATTTTCATTGATATACAATACGGAGATATGTATTTCCCAGGGACATCTACAATGCGACCATAGCAATCACTAGTAAAATTGCAAGTTGCAATTGTCAATATGATAAAACAACAATAAATCGTCGCGTTCACCTTTCATCAGGAACACCCACGTGTTCGCCGACGGGTGAGAGCTCGTCACCTTGACTAGTTTCTGCGGAAAGCTTTTGGCGCGCGGCATTTTCCATGTGCCAAATGTCGATTTTTGAAGGTTATCTTTCCGGCTGGACGGGAAAACGCTCGATTAAGCCATTCGCTCGCTCATATGCACCACTATGCACGCAGGAGTTTAACGATCGATTGTCTCTTACGAGCAATATTGCTTTTGATTTATCGCAGCCAGAATTAGTTTCACTTGCAAACAGTTTTGTTTTGTACGCGACATATTGCGGAGACGCGTAGGAGTGACAGACAGCGTTTAAAAATTCGATGCGTTAAAATGGCGAAGTTAAATAATCGATAATAGCTGAAATTCTTGCACCGTTTATTTTTTCTCTTTTTCTTCTCAAACGTGTATGTATATGCTCACCGAACGATTGGTTATTACTTATAGATCCATAAGTAAGAACCAATCGCTCAGTGAATAGGCTGCATTCTGAAACTTATTATAAAAAAAGTATTGCACCTTTTTAGGCTGCCTTTTTTGTTGCCCATTTAAGCCAATCATAGTTGAATATAATGAAAATAATCAACTATTATTTGTTAATTTTTTACGGCTTACGGCTTGCGATCCTATTGTAGAACAGACTTTAAGCCTGTTCTAAAGAAAATTTCAACCGGTTGAAATTTGTCTTATGGATCAGTTTACTGCTATTTCTATTTCCGTCAGATTACGTAGATCTAAAGCAGTATCCTGATTGGCTCATCGATTTAATTCCAAGCTTAAGGTATATCCATATTTGCATAGCCGCATAAACGTATATGCATAAAGAAAATTATCCAATCACATTTTACGTGTGACTTTATAAAAGAAATGCGATTGAATAATTTTCTTATAAATATATAAAATTACATAAAATTATATATATTTGTATATATAAATGGACATATTTTATATATAAATATATATAATTACGTACAATTATATATAAAATATGTCCATTTATATACAATTATATAAAATTAAATATAATTTTAAAAAATATTTTTTCCCGAGTTGAATTACTTAGTATCAAATTAAGTTTGATTTATTTAGAATTAGTATCAAAGCATTCACATTAATGTATGAATTTATACAATTAATAAACAAAATTTAAGCCTTTAATAGGCTTCTTAATTAAACAGTTTTATTCTATTGTTTTAGTTAAATTAACCAAAGATATTGAGTAAGAGCAGTGGCGACTTATAAAAATGATTAAAAATAATTCAAATTGGATGTAACGTGATATTATAAATTTAACAGTGCACAATAAATTCTACAATATAATAAAGATTAAGTTTATCCTAATCTGTTAAAATTTATCCACTTCAAGGGGGGCAACGGATATATGAAATGCATACATTTATCCGTATATTTTTATTAAATTGATGCATACATCCGTTACCTCAATAAAGTAATTAATTTATCACTCACCAATGCGCAACAGCGGAGTTATATCAGCAAAGTCACTACGATGATTCTGTAACAAAAAAAAATAAAAAGTTCAAATTAAAACAAAATAAAAAATCAACTAATATTTCAAAAAATATTTGTCTCAAGCGAGACAAAAATGTTACATTAAGCAAAAATAATTGTCATAATTATCGCGAGATAGTAATAATGCGAGATAGTAAAAATAAATTCTATTTTTCCATCGTGTTTTGATTCCAAATGAATGAACGTTCGTACGAAATGTCTGTTCCGTGATATATGTGATTGTCATCTCGATTCTTTTATGAATAATTAATCGTGCGAGTTAGTAATCTGTGAGTATTCATAAAGTATAATGTTTTATACTATCTAGCATTTGTCGCGATTATGTTTCAAAAAGAAATGTAAAGAAGAGCGGCACGCGACACAGCTACCTGCTTGTACAAGCTTCGATAATGGAATAACTGCGTGGTAACTTCGCATAAACATGACGCGCCACCCCATGCCGCCCGTCCACCCTTCCGCGCCAAAACAATTTCCAAGGTTACGCGCCGATCATCTAACTGTCGAAATATTAACGCGTATTACAAAATCAGTAAAATAATCTATTCGTTATATTTTTAAGATTCTTTGAATTTATTACACGATCTTTGTTTTATTTTTTAGATTCGTTATGCAACTCATCTTAATATTTTAGATATTTCAAACTGTGCTACAATAAGCGATTAGTTTGCAAGAACTTTTTGTAACACAAAATCCGCGCAATGTGCGCAATATTTTTAAGAAAAGATTAACGCATTTTAGCGTTTTGTTACTTTTGAATCGTAATCCGATAATTCAATAAATCTAAATTTATGCATCGTACGTTTTCGATTCGAAAATAGAAAGTAATATGCAATCAACGTGCTATCACTCGTTATGACCATTAAAGAGGACATTATTAAGTACCGGTTTAAACGTTTAGTAATTTGTAATTACTAAACTATCATATATTTCGACGCCTTGATGAAAGTAAAAATCGAAACGTAAAGCGGATGTAATGGATAAGAGTAACAGAAGGGTGAACGAAACTTCTAGAAGGCGAAAATTGGAACAATAAAATGTAAAAGAAGCATTTACACTTCTTTTACATTTTGATGTTTTAATTTTCGCTTCCTGCAAGTTTCGTTTACCCTTCTGCTACTCTTCCATTACATTCGACTTACGTTCTGATTTTTATTTTCATCATGGCGTCTATTTCAAGCATGTGATAGTATAACTATAATATACCTTCGACAAACGGCAGTCGCTTCGACATGTTCACGGGTCGTACATTATATCAATTCGCATTCGTAGATATGTATTTAATTTAAATTAATGTGACACGCGAAGCGATTCGTATCAAACGTCCGTCCCGCTCTGAAGTCGCCAAGCGAATGTCGGAAACAACCGAATGCCGAAGTGATGACGTAGCAGCCACCGGCGCCACCGCGCCGCCTGGCACGCTCCCCTCCCCCTCGCCGCGCGGCGAAAAGCGAGGGGGAGCGTGCCTTCCCCACTCTTCGCTGTTCGTCGTGCGCCGTTTGGATACCCAATTACTGCGCATAAAAAATATTCACAATTTATTCAATTATTTTTATCTTACATGATTTTGATAAACGGGTATCGTACATACATTTCGCGCTTTGCTTTGTGCCATTTCTGGCACTAGTTTAATCCTATATTACTTGCGGGGTTCTTTTAGTCCGGATCTATAATACAATAGATGTTTTAAGCCTCAAACCGTAAGAAATTGATTGAATTATTATTGAATGCGAGGAAAATAATTGACTATGATTCGTCCATTTCTTATGATTTAAGGTTTAAAAATCTATTGTAGATCCGGGCTCTTAAACGTAATTAGTAATTATATATAAAATATGTTCATTTATATATAAATATATAAAATTATATATAATTTTATATAATTATATATAAAATTTTTTCCCGGGTACACTTATACTATTTTCTAGTAAAAAATATAATTATAAAAATAAAACTTTTTGGGGTATTTCAGCACCTCATCTTGTGTTTTAAAAATTCATTTATCTATTCAAAGATTAAAGAAGAAATTCTTAAATTAAAATACATAATAATGAAAAAAAATTTATAATTGATTTCAATGTCATTTTTATACCTACTGTGTTTGAAATTTTATTGTAAGCGATCTTGCTAATGAGTTAGAAACATTTAAGCCAATCAGAACTCGATCAGATCTCCAATAAAGAATGAGTGGAACATCTTTGAATCATTTGAGCATTGCTTGTTGGTGTTGCTGACGTGTTGCTGACATTTGTACGCATGGAATAATACATATATATTACCGGTTATCCAAAGCGGTTAACCTGTGCTAATCTCAGTGAATGTACAGGGAATTGTATACAATTTATGTAAATTCTCGCTGAGAGAAAAAAAGGATAGGTCTATGATTATTCCTAATTTTTTCAGCAACAATGGGTATGAGCACTTTGAAAGTTATATTTTTAAATTATCAAATATTAATAGAAAAAATTTAACAAGAATTTGCATGCTGTAAAGAGAAGTTATCAATTGTCAGGTGATATTTCAGTCTCGTCGCGATCTGATAATTTTATTAAATTAACCAAAACAAATTGTTTGTGTCTTCAAGAATAAATCCAATACACGAAAAATGTCTAAAATTGTTTCTGCAATTGTTAGTGCATAAGCAATGTATATTATATATGTAAGGCAAAAGGATAGTAATTTTTATTTATCTTTCGTTACTCTTTAATGTTATTGCTAACATTAACATTACATATTGATGTTACAGCTGTTAACAGTGGAATGTCATTCATGCTATCATCGATATTAGTGGTGTTATTGTTTTCTGGTATGCAGATGTACAAAGTTTTGCTCAGCTCATCACAGTTGGGAACCATTCTCGGAGGATTGATTGGATCTTTGTTGTTCATGTGTACATTGACTGCTGTGGGAAATCTTGAAAGTACCTTATTCGGAAAGTCTTTTCAACAGAAATTACTCCCAGAAGGTATATAGAAACTAACAGAGAAAAGTCTATTAAAAGTCAAACTAATCAAATTTGGCAAATTTCTTAATTTTAATATCAAATATATAATTAGTGTAAAGTATAATTTTTTTCACTTTTTTATTTCATTTATCAATTTGCTTCTGAGAGACTCTTGTATTGCAATTGTATTGTTTAATAAAGTGAATTATTTAAGAGTTAATAATATACAAATAGTTTTTAAATGATATACGTAAGCTGATATATATGTTTGTTTTGTTACAGTGGTCTTCTCATTAACTTTAAGTCTAATTGCTTCTGCCCTGATCCACCGTGTGTCCACTACAACTTGTTTAATATTCTCTCTGGTTGCACTGTATTATATGAATAGAATTTCTCAGGAAACGTATGGCGTGTCTATACAAAATACAGTTATGCAGTCCAAAAAACGCAAATAATAAGTATAAGGATATTTGTGCGACATATCTTTTTACTATCATGTACATCATAATATATCATACGTTCTACGTAAAACTTCCAATTTGTAATACAATGCCAATTGTAAATTGTTCGATATTATTTTATCTAAGATATTGAGTGGTTTAAGACTTGTACTAAAAACTAAACCTCAATTGTGAGCCATTTCCCTATCAATTTGCATTTATATAAATGTATGTAAATTTTGAAAGTTTGTGCAATAAGAAAAGGGTTTGACTAATGAAACAAATTTGTATGTATAATATGTAATGCTTTATGATAGTTTATGACAATATCATGATATTTACATCGCGAAATTTAATTAAATAACATGTAAAAAATATGAAAATATTTCTTTATTGCAGGTATAAATATTTATAATATTCGGGGCTTTTGTT